TCCCTCGAAGGTGAGAGAAGAGCATGAAAAAGCTGGCTTAAAACTCAACATTCTAAAACTAAGATCATGGCATCAGTCCCATCACTTCATGGCAAATAGGTAGAGAAACAACGGAAACAGTGACAGACTCTGTTTTCTTGGGCTCCAGAATCACTGTGGTGACTGCAGTCATGAAATTAAAAGACACTTGGTTCTTGGAAGAAAAGCTGGCATGACAGCATATTAAAAAGCAGAGACATTACTTTACTGACAAAGGTCCATGTAGTCAAAGCTATGGTTTTTCCAGTAGTCATGTATGGATGTTAGTGTTGGATTATATTATAAAGAAGACTGAGCCCCAAAGAACTGATGCTTTTGAACTGTGGTGTTGGAGAAGACTCTTGAGAGTCCCTTGGACTGCAAGGAGATCCAACCAGTCAATCCTAAAGGAAAATCAGTCCCGAATATTCATTGGAAGGACTGATGCTGAAGTTGAAGCTCCAATACTTTGGCCACATGATGCGAAGAGCCAACTCATTGAAAAAAGATCCTGATGCTGGGAAAGATTGAGGGCAGAAGGAGAAGGGGATGACAGAGGACGAGATGGTTGGCATCACCAACTCAATGGACATGAGTTAGAGCAAGCCCCAGGAGATGGTGAAGGACAGGGAAGCCTGGCGTGCTGCAGTCCATGGGGTCACAGAGAGTCAGACATGACTGAGCAACTGAACAGCACATCTTTGAGTTAGTAGTTCCACAGAAAGTAAGCCCCGACTCCCTCTGTGTGAAGCTCAAGATTCCTGGAACACCACTCTTTTACATCACCACTAATTAATCTGAAAAAACTCATGCACCCTGCAGCCCTCATCCCAAATGCTTCCTATAAAAACTCTTCCCTGGGTTCTCCTACAGTTAGTGGTCCAGTGACTAAGATTCCAAGATCCCAGTGCAGGGGCCCTGGCTTTGATGCCTTGTCAGGGAACTGGAACCCACATGCTACATCTAAGACTTGGTGCAGGCAAATAATTAATTATTAAGAAAAAGGAAAAAAAAAAACCTCTTCCCTGACAATAATCAGGGAGTTCAGGTCTCTTGAGCATGAGTTGTCTGCTCTCCTTGCTTGACCCTGCAATAAAACTTTCTCTGCTCCAAACTCCGTTTTGGTTTGCTTGGCCTCACTGTCCATCAGGCACATGAACAGCAACACCAGCAGAGCTGAAGAAGATGCCCAAGAGGCTCCAGGCCTCACAGAGCAGTTCTGGAATCAGAGTAGCCAGATGAGTCTGGAGCAGAAATGGGAAAAGTCCTACCTTGTCCCTTGCTCTTCTTGCTGCAAGGAGATCAAACCAGTCAATCCTAAAGGAAATCAATCCTGAGTGATGCTGAAACTGAAGCTCCAATATTTTGGCCACTTGATGTAAAGAGCCAATTCATAGGAAAAGACCCTGATGCTGGGAAAGATTGAGGGCAGAAGGGGGTGACAGAGGATGAGATGGTTGGATGGCATCACCGACTCAATGGATGTGAGTTTGAGCAAACTCCAGGAGCTAGTGAAGGACATGGAAGCCTGGTGTGCTGCAGTCCATGGGGTTGCAAAGAGTTGGACATAACTGAGCACCTGAACAACAACAACCCTGCCTCCCACCTTGGATGAATGAGGGTTTCTGAAATGTCAGGAAAGGTTGTGAGGGGAGAGCTGAGGGAAGACTGGGCCTCGCAGCCACAAAGTTTAGGTCTTCCAGCCAGGGCTGGGCCAGGTCCAATGGGCAGTAGGTACCCAGGGTCCTAGCATCCTCCTTCCATCCAGCTCTGGAATCCAGGAGACTGATTGGGACAGAGAAGGACAATGAACCAAGGAATATAGGTGAGGGCAGATTGGGGATTTAATGTGTGTTCAAGGCCTAATTTTACCATCTGCATGTAGTTTACTCCCCTGGTATCATCAGTTCCATTTTATAGATAAGAAAACTGAGGCTCAGGATTCAACTTCAAAAGCCTTATCATATCAAAACCCTTATTCTCTCCAGGTGTCAAAGTCAGTGGGTTGCTCATAGGTCCTCAGTCACTTCCTTTCCTGGATTCCAGAAAGTAAGAGATTTGATTTTGGCTCAGTGACCTTTTTGAATGCCCTTTTTAGCCCCAGCCAGAGGACCACTTGGGCAGTTGCTTTGAACTCTGATTAAACATGGAGGCCTTGGCCCTGGTTGAGGAGCTCTGAACGCACAAGATTTACCAGACTTATTTTGTCCCCTAAGTACACTTCACCCCCTCCCAGCCTCTCATGTGCCTTTTATGATCCACCCCACAACGGCTTCCAAGAGACAGGAAGGAAGTGGTTAAGCGGTGGGCACCAGAATACATCCATCGGCTTTCAATCCCAGCTCCACCACTTCCTGAGCTATTTCACATCAAGTAGGTGATGTAGGGATGTCCCTATAGCTCAGATAATAAAGAATCTGCTTGCAATGCAGGAGATCGGGTTTGATCCCTGGGTCAGGAAGATCCCCTGGAGAAGGGAATGGCAACCCACTCCAGTATTCTTGCCTAGAGAATCCCATGGACGGGGAGCCTGGTAGGCTACAGTCTGTGTGGTCGAAAAGAGTTGGATACGACTGAGAGACTAGCAATACAATGCAATAGGTGATGTAACCTCCCCATACATGTCTCCTATTTGAAGATGGGGAGAATGTTCTATGAAGATTGTTGGGCTGTACCTGTGGATCTGCAAGCCTTGTAGATGCCCAGCCTCAAGATCAAAGAAAAGGCCCAGAGACAGTGACAGAGACAGCTGTGGTTTATTGGACAGGAGGTCTTCTGCAGAGGGTCCTGGAGAGACCCCCACCCCACCCCCACTGTGTGTGACAGATGGTGAGTGAGAGATGACAGCAGTTTTTGCTACTCAGAGGAAAAGGAGGCTACTATCTACTGACGTCAGACGGGCTCATCAGTTACCGGGGAACTCATTAAGCTCAGTAGTTAAAAGGATGAGGTAGCTATGTGAATGAAGCAAGGTCTGGTTGAAGAGGGGATATAGAGAGAGTAAGAGAACAGCCATTTTGAATGACCTGCTACCGACAAAAAAAGATGCACAACTTGAGAGTTGTGAGTTATGCTCTATCTGGGTTAAAACGAGGACTGCAGCCCAGGGGACAGCATGTCAGATAGCTCTGAGAGACTGCTCCAAAGGGGTAGTGGGGGAAGGCCAATCTGTAAAATTACGGTGAAGGGAGAGTTCAGTGCCATCAGTGCTACTTCACAAGAGCTTTTCTGCTAGTTGCCAGGATCATGTCATCATGAAGGGATTTAGTGCTTTTCTGGATATGGAGAGATGCAAGGATTGGGATCATAAAATCGTTCCTTAAAACATCCACCTATCTAAAGACCTGTCCCACCAGGTTCCCTGGAGCACTCCACCCTAATTCCCCCAGGGAGTGTTGAAGGTGAACTCCTGCAGCACAGGGCTCAGTCTCCACAGAGGCAGACGGCAAATGCCCTTGTTCAGTCACTAGCAATACTCTGGGCAAGTGCCCATTTGTAGTTGACACTGCCCATGCAAGGATTATCTGAGTTAACACAGTTAACGTCCTAGGAACAGGGCCCGGTATATAGCATGCCTCAAAAACTCTTAGCTGTTATTATCACACACATTCATGCCTCTTCAAATCTTCCTGGGCCCCCACAGCCAGTAGGACAAAGCCTCGATTTTCACCCAAAGGCAAATCAGGCCTCTCTTCATTTGTCCCCTTTGTCCCCAGCCCCATCTGCTGCAGCATCTTTCAGGGACCCCCAGATCATGCACAGGGCAAGCCCTGTTCACAGGACTTATAAGGCACTGGGGGAAGTTTCAGACACTAAGTTTTCAGACACCTTGAGCTGGCAGGGGCAGGGAACTGGGCAAGAAGTTTCTACAGTCAGCCTGGAAGCTGACTAGAGGGCCCACAGTGCCCTTCAACTGATGTTGAAGCTGAAACTCCAATATTTTGGAAACTTCTTGATGTGAAGAACCGACTCATTTGAAAAGACCCTAATGCTGGGAAAGATTGAAGGTGAGAAGAGAAGAGGACGACAGAGGATGAGATGGCTGGATGGCATCACTGACTCATGGACATGAGTTTGAGTAAGCTCTGGGAGATGGTGATGGACAGGGAAGCCTGGCGTGCTGCAGTCCATGGGGTCACAAAGTCTTCTCCAACACCACAGTACAAAATTGTGTACTGTGCATCCATTTTTCGGCGCTCAGCTTTCTTCACAGTTCAACTCTCACATCCATACATGACCACTGGAAAAACCATAGCCTTGACTAGACAGACCTTTGTTGGCAAAGTAATGTCTCTGCTTTTTAATACGCTGTCTAGTTTAGTCATAACTTTTCTTCCAAGGAGCAAGCGTCTTTTAATTTCATGGCTGCAGTCACCATTTGCAGTGATTTTGGAGTCCAAGAAAATAAAGTCTGTCACTGTTTCCATTGTTTCCCCATCTATTTGCCATGATGGGACTGGCTGCCGTAAACTTTGTCTTTTGAATGTTGAGTTTTAAGCCAGCTTTTTCACTCTCTTCTTTCACCATCAAGAGGCTCTTTAGTTCCTCTTCGTTTTCTGCCATAACAGTGGTTATCTTCATATCTGAAGTTATTGATATTTCTCCTGGCAATCTTGATTCCAGTTTGAGCCTTATCCAGTCTGGCATTTCACATGATGTACTCTGCATATAAGTTAAATAGGCAGTGGGACTTCAAAAATGTCACTTCTTTACCCTCCTCCCTTTGGGAGCCAATATCCAGGAAGCAGAGAATTAGGCAGGATGAAAACATCCCCAGACCTGGAAGGAAGCCTTATCTGGCTGCTGACCACAGTGCATGTAGAGATAACCCTGAGGTCAGTGACCCAGCCTGGGCCAGGAGGGGCTCTGACACTCCTGCGCTTGAGCAGTCTGGGCTGACTCCACACTCCGCCCACACTGAGCTGAGTGAGCCGAGTGCGCCCTGGCCACCAGGCTCGGCGCTGGGGCAGAAGGAGCAGCTCATGGAGAGTGGGCAGCTGGCGGGCAGAGCCCCTGCTCCGGGCTGCGGTGAGTCCCTTGACATGGAGGACAGCCCCTTGCACCCCCAATCAGGTGAGTTGGGCGTGGACGGGCAGGGAGAAAGCAGGGAGGAGCATAGTATGGGTGTCACCGTACCCCACCGCTGACGCCCCAGTGCCCCGAGCTTTCTTTTCTTAGTAACTTCGGGCAGACTCATCCATCTCCCAATCCTTCCACCTTCTCAAAACTCCAGCAGAGGATGGGACTGGAAGGGTAATGGTCGCCCAGGGAGAAATGAATTTGCCATTATAACACAAAGATGTTACCTCTTTATTTTTCTTAAACAATCGGCTTTTTCCAAAAGCAATTTAGAACAGCTTATAAAGAAGAGCTTCACAATAAGGTTAATAGTAAATAAGACATGGGAAATCGTGGCGTGGGGTAAAAATAAAGTAGAACTTAAAGCAGCTCAGCTGGTAAAGAATTCGCCTGCAGTGCAGGAGACCCCGTTTCAATTCCTGGGTTGGGAAGATCTGATGGAGAAGGAACAGGCTGCCCACTCCAGTATTCTGGCCTGGAGAATTCCATGGACTGTATAGTCCATGGGGTTGCAAAGAGTCAGACACAACTGAGCGACTTTCATTAAATATATTTAGTAAATTTAAGATAATCATGAATATGGGTCTGACTCATCCTAGTCGCCATGGTAAAAAGGGAAATAGGATCAGCAACTGGAAAGGAAAATGCATACTAGTCTTATATTTTTTTCTTAGAGCTTTATATAATATGCATTGAGCGTTGTGAGAAACAGGTCATTTACTTCATATTTCTAAAAATTCAGAAGCAGATGAAATCAGGCTATTTGGCTCACAAGAGCCTTTGAGAAAGCAAAGAGAATGGTATTAAAGTACCACACCATTAGGGTGAATGCATTCCAATACGGGTTTCTGATAGATTGGCCTGGGTGTTCAGCAAGTTGTCCCTTTCCTCATCTGTGTTGTAGACCTGCATTTCTCAAACTTTAATATGCATGCAATCTCCGGCAAGTCTTTTGAAAATGCCTTTCTGATTTAGATCTGGGGTGGGCAGTTCTAAAAAACTCCCAGGGTACCACGTGTACCATACTTGGAGCAAGGAGCTAAAAGCCCAGACTTCTCTACTTGTGCACCTATGCGGTTTCCCCCAACTGAAGGTAATGCAGTGCTGCCGTAGTTCCCACTGACCACTGATGTCCAGTCCCAAGCCATGACTCCCGGCTCATGCAGAGACCGATTAAGTACCCACCATGTGTCAGAGTGCCCTTAGCAAAATGGCTGTTCCTGCCCACCCTCCCCCTGGTCTTTGATGTGCCCACCCTCCCCCTAAAAGCACCTGCCTCTAGAACCTTCTTCATGCTCTTGTGCTGCCACAGTTAAATCTCTTGTGGATACAGCCTCTCATTCCACTGAACTCAGAGAGCTTCTCCTTTGGAGAGAGCTCATGTTGCAATGGAGGACTAGAAGGAGGGCGAGACTTACACCGGAGTGCCAAGCCCTGGGTGCAGAGGCAGAGGGTTGAGGGCCCTGTTAGCCACACCTTATAATGCCTTACAACATTGGCTTGAAATAACCCATGACCTGAAGAAGCCTGTAAGCTTAAACCCTGAGCCCTGAGCACACTTCTGCAGCTTGCCTCCCCTTCCAGGGCCTGTCCCCCACAGCCTGCCCCATGCCTACAGTGGCTGCCCCACCTCTGCGTGGTTCTGACAAGGCTTCCTCCGTGTCATCACGGAGGAAGACACAACCCCTCCATTTTCCCTTGAAATCACTTCCCCGAGTTGCAGTCCCACTCCCTCCCTCACAGAAGGAAGCAGTTCCCTGGCCCGAGTCTCGCTCTGGGGAGTCTCACCTGGCCTGGGCTGGGCAGGGGAGGACAGGGTGCCTTTCCTGGGGACGCAGCCCAGCCTCAGCACATCCAGGTCCAGGTGGCCTGGCTCCCAGCCAGGCTGCCAGAATACGTCTTGCGCATGGCTCCTAGTAACCATCTTGATTTAGTAGTCAATTAGAGTATTTATCCTGTGAAATGGGTGTGTTCTGTCCAAGCTTATAAGTGCTGGATCAGTCCAAGAAGCTGAGTCTGAACTATGTCCTTCTCCTCTCTGGGCCAAGTAGGAGATAAACCTAGATTCTCTTCCTGGATCCTCTCATCTTCTAAGCCAAAGGAGTAGCCTTGTCTGCAGGAAAAAGATCAATCTCAGGAGACTGACCCGCAGGGGCTCCATAACCAGATACCCAGCAGTGCATGTACTGAGCACCTCCTGTGTGCCCGCAGTGCAAGCTCTGGGGCAAGCAAAGGAGGAGGCCAGAGGTGGGTGGGAACGCTGGGCGAAGCCTCCCAGAGATGCTGGGAGGTGCAGAAGGTTGAGAATGGCCAAGCATTCATTCAACAGCTGTTTACAGAGCACCGGCTATGTGCCAGGCTCTGATGCAGGCACTGGGAATACAGAAGTGAAAGAGGCAGACAGAACTCCCTGCCCTGAATGAGCTTACATTTCTGTGGGAGCAGAACATTAATGACCAGCAAACAGAGAAGGTGTGTCTTATAGTGTGTTAGGAGGAGAAAAGAGGGCTTTCCTGCTGGCTCAGTGGTAAAGAATCTGCCTGCCAACGCAGGAGACACGAGTTCAATCCCTGGGTTGGGAAGATCCCTTGGAGTAGAAAATGGCATGGGATTACTCTTGCCTGAATAATCCCATGAACAGAGGAGCCTGGTGGGCTACAATCCACGGGGTCGCAAAGAGTCGGACACGACTGAGTGACTAACACACACTAGAAGGAGAAAAAGGCTAAGTGAAAAGAAATAGGGCAGGGTACCCAGATGAGGGATGCAGATCATTGGGTGAGTCTCACAGAGGTGATGTTATTTCTCAAGGATCCAAAGGAGGGAGGGAGAAGGCCTGCGTGGCAGTGAGAGCAGAGAGGAGGGAACCAGAGGCGAGGTCCTGCTGGGCCTGGTCGCCATAGAAAGGACCTTCCTTTGACTCTCAGAGACCAGGGAGCCAGGGGCAAGTTCAGAGCCAAGGAGTGACATGATCTGACAAATGTCTCCGAAGGACGGCTCCAGCCACTCTGCCCTTGGCCTGGCCGTGGACACGAGTCTGGCACAGAGGAGGTGCTCAACCAATGTCAGCGCACCATCCTCGCTCCCGGCTCAGGACATGGCTCATCTGCTTCCGGGAGTTGGGCTCCAGGAAACTGATTCAGCTCTCACCCACACTAGGCCCCACGTCAGGTGAGACAGACAGGCCGAGCGTCAAAGGCCGATGGCGTGGACGGTGCTCTGCCCACCCAGGCTTGGCCTCAGCGGGGTTCACCTCCCTCCCTGTGCCTTTCAGGCCCCTCATTGTTCTCTTGCGCAGGTTCATGCTCCACTAGGACATTCCTCTGTGCATCTCTGCTGCTCCAGCCTTTGCTCTCTCTCCAACTCATGGGGAGCCCCTCAGAGGCCTACCAGGTCTCTTTAGAAGGATGTAGATCCTTTGAGCATATTGGAAGAGCTCTCAGCGTCTCTATTTCCCAAGCTGCATCTCCTTGGGCCCCAACTCCTCTGGAGTAACAGGAAGGGTCCTCAGAGACCCTCAGAGCAGATATTTAAAGAATACCTACTGTGTGCAGGGCACCAGTGAGGGGCACCAAAGAAGGCTGCATGCTCGTTCCTGTTTCCCCAAAGGCACTGCAGAAGCAACCTGCCATCCTAGGGCCAGAACCAGGCCTGGGGCGACTGCGTCCCCAGCACCTGGAACACTAATACGGTGCAGTCCCCTGGGTGTGGAATGCACAGAGGACCTGTGAGAACTGCCTCCAGAGCTCAGAGAGGATGCTTTCCTGGGGCAGGGTGGGTCAGGAGGTGGGAGAGAAGCTGGGCCTCAGGGTCTGGCAAAGCAGAGAGCTGGGGCGGGTGGGTATTTTATGCCAGAGGAAACCTATGGAAGTGAGGAAGCACAAGATGCTGGTGAAGTGAGAGGACGGAGGACAGGACTCTCATCTCACCACCTGGCCAGAGCTCTGCCTCTCCACCTCATTGCTCTCCCTGAGGTCTAGTCGTGGGGCCATTCTTGAGGCCCAGCCCCCTGCCTTTCTAATCTCCAGGTTCAGATAGCCCCTCCCTGGGACTTATCTCCCCAGAACAGCTTGGGATCCTGGAGTAATTTGAAGCTCTTTATCAAGGTCTGGCAGAATATGTCCTACAGGACTAATCCAGAGAGAGTCCCAGGGTTCAGGTAACCCCAGTCAGTCTCCCAGAAGATGTGCGACATTGGTGCCCCACAACCACCAGATCCCCCACGTCCTCACCTTTGGACGGAGGGGAATGGTGGTCAGCAGCCCATGATGTGAGACTGCAGGTGAGAAAGGGCTTCAGATGAAGGCGCACACCTCTAGAAAGCTACCTGAAAGACACCCTCCCCTTATACCTGACTCGCGGCTGTGCTGGGAGGCCACCAAGATGGGGGAGCGGAGGACAGCTCCCAGGGCTGGAGGCCGTCTGTCTCAGGGCAGGGTGGTAGTTTCAAGCCCAGGAAATCTAGATGGGGAGACTAGCTCCCTCCCCAGCTCCCAGGCCCTGGAAGGGAGGACTCTGAAGAAGGGTCAGAGGTCTGCGCTAAGGGTAGACCAAGGACAGAGGAGCAACGGAAGCACGGAGGCCTGGATGCAGCCTCGTGGAGAAGCGGGCCTCTGCGGCTGCGCCCCTTGCAGGATAGAAGGAAGCCAGGTTGAACAGGTGCCTTGGCGTCGACTCCCACCTGTGTGAACTCGGCCTGCCACTTGACCTGGCATTGTGAAATGGACGTGGATTTGAGGTGTCCCTCGGATGAAGGGAGCCAGCCGGTCCCAAAAGTTACTCTGGACTCCAGATGCCCGGCTTGTCCGGGTTAACAGTTGCCCACTTTAATGAAGGGGATAGAGCAGATCCTGAAGTTTAGGAACATTAGGCCGGGGGAGAGGAGGGTCGTTCGTCCCTGGCGCCCACCACCACCGCTGGAGCTGCAGGACCGGGGGTGACCGAGGACCCTGCAGCTCTCCGATTGCGGTCCCGGGGGAGGTGGCCAAGCCGGA